CTCGTCCTCTTGATTGTAATTGAAGAATGAAAATACCATCTTCATTGCTTAAGATTGCTTCACAAAAGAAATTCCAAGCATTATGAGGAATATTAATCCTTGAAGCTCTAAATTGTCCTGATACTCCGAAATGGAAAGAAGACATACTTTTGGAAGAGAAATCCGTCTTTCTGATTGAGGGTTGTTGAAAGTTTCAAAAATATAACCTTCCACTTTTTTATTTTTACATAAGCTGATTTCTCGCAACTTGGAATAGGAACAAAATCGAAGATGTAATACCAAAGCAAACAATACTTCGAACTGTAGTACGCCATGCGTCGCAGGAACATGAGTGAGAGTCAAGCTGGAAAATAAGTGACAAATAAAACGAATTATAGGAACTTCATGACAGGAACGTTCAAGATATTTCAAAACAATTTTTGAAGAAACCAACTTGCAAGTATAATAAAAACCAAAGTGGCTTGCAATATTCAGAGTAAATTCAGTATATTCGCTAAACTTCAAACGACCAAAGAATGTTTCTCTCTAATGAAGAGGATTCCTTAAGATACTAGCAAAAAGCAGCGTAGAGAACACAGCATATCCTTTAGGTCCCATTCTCTCCCACTCTCAAAGAAAGATTTTTAAGCATAGGAATTGTTTTGTACCGTGTTCCTTAATTCTTCTTCTGATAGTCTCTCCATTGTGGTCCAAAAAACTGTCGACAAACTGGAAGTGTCTCATGTAATAAATAATGCCGTGCCTTTTCATAACAATACTTGTATTCGGTTGGTCTATACATTATGTAACTTGTAAGTTGCGTGTCTAATGCTTTCAATCAGAGATAAATTTGAAAGTAGTGAATGTCATCTCCTCCATAAAAATATCCAATCGAAACACTTAGACATAAATGACACAATAGTTCCTTGTTCAACAGTTTTTCCAGTTGATGACGAAGTTCCCATAATGTTAATACATGCGTCAAATGCAATATCTGATAGCCCACGCACATCTTTCCTTGAAGCCTCAATGACACGTCAATCTCTATAGGACAAATGGAGCTTGCTTGAAATGTTAAGACTAATATGATCTCTTGGATAATAAAAGATCAAGTGACAACAATCTCATTGGGTGGGATTTACTCGCATCTTGTATATTTGGCAATATTTGACCAGGTCACCATAAAAACTTTTGAAATACCAAAACATCTTCGAATATTCTGTGCTGTCTGGAGGATCGTTTCCATATTTTGTAGGCAGGTCCATTAATACTATTATCATTATTATTATCAATCTTCCAAAATGTTGTTATGATTGAACTGATAGTAGCTCAAAGTCAGTTTTAAACTTTCCTTCCATAGTATATACAGGTTTTGAAACTTTGGAAATGTGTTTCTTTCAGAAAGAGTTCATATGCTACAACAAAACGATTAAAAATGTTGGGTTGGTCCGAAATTATTTTATTCGTTTTGCTAATAGATTCGAAAACTCGTCTAGTGCCTTGTTACTAGATCCTTCAGTATGGAGAAAATAATTTTTCTAAACTATAATATGGAGTAAGGTTAATATGGTGTGATTTTCTCAACTTTCCTATCTAGAAATACTCTACCATCTTCATAGGATGATGAGACCCTGAGAACAACAAGTTGAAATATAAATTTGAAATTGTAGAGAACCCTTCAATACGCTCTTCTAGTCGGATAAAAAAGTAGAGTAATATTCTTTCTGGAGACAAGTAAAAGAAGACTAAAGACAAACATGAATAGATGTAGCAACAAGTTGCCAAGTTTTGAAATTGTGCAAAGTCCAAACTATTTCGTCGTTTTCAATGGAAATGAACGTCAAAATCAGAGCTCAGCTTTGTTGTTATAAGTTTCATTTATGCATTATACAGCACGTAACAATGGAATATGTCATCCAAATCGTGCAATTGTAGTAAGAGGAATAAATTTGCTCAAATTTGATATAGTTTTTGACAGTGTCTTATAAAACAGCCCCTGATTTATGACGACTTTTGAAAGTGTCTATCCTTGGAAAAATTCTCAGATATTAAAACAAGATATTCCTAAATATTTTTGGAAAGAGATAAAACTATTTCTTGTAGGGTTGAAATGCCAATATTTCTCGAATGTGGATCATCCACAGACTTGAAAGCGTTCCTTAAATTCGATAAAATGTCTTTGCCAATAAAGTTTTCTACATCAGCTTCAGAAAGAATAACCAATTCACAGTTGTGAGGAATCAACAAATCTCCAACACCATCGCCAAAAGAATAACAACGACTAGAATGATTCAAGTCCTCAGATACGTTGGTCGCTAACTGAGTACTCATAATAATCAACATACAATGCCATGTAGGATGACTAGTCAATGCTTGATCATGAACTGGTTTTAAAAACTTGTGAGCTTCTTCCAAAATTTCATTCCATCGAATACCATTACGACTCCATCTGCCTTTACAAGCAATACCCACAATCATCAAATTCTTCTCATTCGTTCTTCCATGCAACTTGAATAATATATCTGGACTATGAAAAGTTGAATGAAATGGAATATATATCTTTTCAAATTCTAACATTTCTTCCACTATCCTTTCCCATTCATCATTGCTTCCAAATGTCATTCTCTCCATTCCTGATACAGCTCTGGTATAATGTATAGATTTCATATAATAAGCAGCAGATTCGGAAGAAAATTGTAAATTCATCTCATTCCAAACACGAGACAATTGACCAAGAGTAGAAAACATTGAGCTGTTTGTAGGACGCCGAGAAAAATGTAAATAAAACAGTGTAGCAATAAGACCTTCCAAAATTCGACATTTCGACTCATAAAAGAATTCAACAGATTGAGACTTGAGAGTTTGTAAAAGTAACCATTCTAAACGATCATCCTTTAAGCCTTGGTCAATATATTCAATCAGTAACTTGGGAATCAACACTTCATAGCGTTCGTTGCGGTCTGGTTCTATAACCAATCGACGATAGAGACACATATCTGTAACTAGATCAAACAAAAACACATCAGAATTTGAGCTCATTTGCACAGTTTCATCAAAATCAAATCGAATACGATACAAAGATAATAACGTAAGCATTCTTAACAAGCGCTTACGCTGCTCACTGAGACTTATCAGACGAGGTAAGAATGGCGCAACACAATAATTTGTTACTAAAAAACCATTCATTATGATCAAGAAGGTTTCCTTAGATAATAAGAAATTGTTGTTGGATGACTTATACAGCAAAAGGTAACTGATTGCTCGAACAAGTAAACCAGGAACACCACCAGTCAATTCCAACAACAATTCTGCAAGTTCACTAATTGAGAAGTCTTTGTGACAAAGAATTTCTGAAACCTTTGGGCTCCCAGGGAATAAAAAGGAAGAACTTTTCTCCAAATGTTCCACGATACTATGTTTCTCAAGCGGCGAAAGAGGAATAAACACTAACTGAACCCTTGAGACTGAAGCTACGTAATTATATATATTTAAGCCTTCACTTTTCCCAACAACAATAAAAAACAAGTCGGGTTCTTTGCACAATTGACTAATGATACCGAAAAAGTCATTGTAAGGTCGAACTCTTCCGTCATGGGTTCTCTTGAAATGAAATTCGTCGAGACTTTCGTCTAGGACACCAACTTCATCAAATGCTATCAGAAGATATTGATCAGAAGGAATCCTTAGTATATCTCGTAAGAGTGGAACTAGGTTGGAGGGTTCCATATCCACCATTTCGAAGGCTTCTTACTTTCGAAAAATTTCCGCGCCAACTTGAGAGCAGGCAGCCTTTATTAACAAATAGTAGACTGCCCACTTCAGGTTTCGAAAAAACTCTATGGGGACTGTGGGCTCCAACCGCCTTAAATCCGCATAAAGCAACGAAGCCCTTTTTAATTTCTCCAGGAAACCTCTTCGGTTGGCCTTCTCAGACTCATAAACGTAATCGAGACCTATCAGTGCACTTTCACCCATATTATTCACCAGTTCCAAGTAACTTTGTACGAATTTCGTCTTTCCACTTCCGAAGAGGTGAGGACCAAAGGGTATGACTGGTTTGAAATGGCGATCAAGTTTACGGAGAGTGTATAGCTGAAATAACTGCAGTGTTACTACACGAACATCATTTTCTCGGTGTACTACAACCATGTCATATACGGTTTCTGGTTCAAGCTCACTAGACATATCGTAAGCTATGAAGTAAATTATGCAACAGAAAAATACAACAATGATCGATCAATCTTCTTTAAAAGTCCAATGCTCAAACGTTTGATTGTGAAGCTTAGGACAAATCTTAAAAAGTTCATTGCTCAAAATTTCTAACGGTTGATAATTGAAGAAAGAGTGCTCCTTGAGCCTTTTATTTGTATGACAAGTTAACAGAGTTGCTCCGCGTTCAAATTGAAAAGTGACCATCTCGCACTTTCAAGTTGACCTTACAAAGCATCCGAATTGGACTGATCACTGCACACAACATGAGAACAAATCAAAACTAATTGCAATCGAACTGAGATTTTCTTTGCAAAGCTAATTTCGGTCAAACTCAACTTTGTTGAAAGGCTTAAGCGTCGCTAGGGAGTTGACAGAACTTCCTTACAACGCTATCTTTCTCCCGTCGCAATATTACTATGGTATCAAGATAAATTCTATCTATACCAGTTATTATACCAATAGCTTTTTAAATCTCCTTTAGTGGAATATTTTCTTCAATAAAACTCACTAAACATAAAAGACTCCATATCTCCTGTGAAAGCATTTGCTCAAAATCGAGTAAAGCAGGTTAACATCTCCAATGTTCGATAATAGAATAAAAGAAAATTTTGTATTTATGAGTTGCAAATACAACGAATGAAACATATTGAAAAAATGACAAAACTCTCAAATACATTCATCGTTCGTTAGCGAGATATGACCTTATAGAAGATCTTATCTTCAACCTCAACGCAGGTTTATCTATACCCAAGTCCCGTAAAATTTCTTTGGTCACCGCTGGAAGCTCGTCCATATCAATATCTTCCACTTTCGGAAGACAATAAGCAACATCTTCTTCAGAAAGACCACAATATTCTCTTAGGAAAGTATTCCAATCAAATGACGAAGACAAAGAACTCGATGCTGCAACCCTTTGTTCGCCTCGTGTATTTCCTTCTTCCACTTGCATAGCACTTTGAAAACCTTCCATTTGCA